GAAACCCGCCATGAAATCATCTAGTCTGTAGCACAGCTGCTAAATAACCGCAATATAAGTCAGTGAACTTACCGTCGCTTACGCAGATCGTCATGATGTTTCTTTAAGTCGTCGCACTCTTGTGTCACTGCATTGAGCTCATTAACACGCTCCATGTAGTGAGCAGCTTTTGTCCGGTACCTTTGCAAAAGAAAGGTATTAAGAAAGAAACATTAAATATTCAATGCTTACTCTCCAATGGTGTCGAGATTCGGCTGCATTGCCTTCATCTGCTGCTCCAAAAGTTCTACATTTTTCAGGGCTGTTTGTAAACTGGAGACTGAATCAATTTGGTTCCCTTCAAGCGCGGCGTTTAGGGAGTCCAAATCTATTCCTTCTTTTCGTATCCTGGAAGATATATTCGCATGAGACAACAGAAATGCGTAATACTTACTGTTCAACATGCTCATTTAAAGCCTTGTTGCTTGTTTCGATCTTTTTCTGAAAACCTTTCATTTTCTGATCCATTTCTTTGACCAAACCTTTTAAGTCTTCCACTTTGTCCTGTGCGTCAATCTGAAACAGGAATGTGAGGATTAAGACAACCTGACAAAATTCACCAAACCTCTCCAGTTCGAAGCTGATCAACCATTTGCTTCTTTTCATTGTACAGTTTTTTCGTTGACTCCAGCTCCTCTCGTTGCTTTTCCATTATCTGTAGTCATCGTCGTCAAGGCTTATTAAAAACCAACGAATTTGCTAACCTCTTGAATGTCTTTGTATCTCTCTTGGACGACGAAGGCTTTCTTTTCAATCTCCTTGAATGCAGAAGCCTTCTTCTCCTTGTTTTCAGAGATGTTTTGTTTGTCTTTCCTCGAGTCTTCAAGCGTCTTCTGCAGTTTAGCTATTGTTTTGCCCCCGGTGTCCATCTGAACTTTTCGACGATTGACCTCAGTGTTCTTACTGTCTATATCCTGCATCCAAATCGTTAGTCAAGGAAAACATGAAGCGCGTACCGTTTGTATCTTGCTGACAAGTAGTTTTTGTTGCTTCAGTTTCTCACCCCCAGCGTTTTCAATACTTTTTTGAAGACTGTTTGCCTGTAGAAAAAACAAGACTGTAAGTCGATGGTCGTTACACTACTGGAAATAACCTTCTCCCTAAGCCCTTTCGAGTTTTCTTGTAAGCCAGAGAGCGTTTTCTCCTCGACCACGGCCAGCTTGTCCAGCTTTCCGATCTTTTTAACTTCAACAGAATTAGGCACAGCTTCAACCTTCAAAGTTTCAATTTGGTGATTTGCGTCCATCTTTTGCTTCTTCAATCCGTCAACCTGAAAAGAGCTAATTAGCTTGGAAATATTGCGGAGAACTATGGACTGCGAACCTCCATTTGAGCTTTGGAAATGTCCACCTGGATGTTTGAAATAGCCTTTTCTGATTGTTGATATTGTCGAGCCGCTTGGACACGTCGTTCACGAACTTTTGCAAGCTGCTCGGCCAGTGTAGAAACTTCATTTTCGGCACTTTCCAAAGCCTGACGAGTAACACTGGAGTCACGTATGGCAGTACCCATCCGCCCGCCTCGGGGTTTGCCACCACCTCCACTCATTGTTCCAGATTTCTCAAATAGTGCTCCATCCAATGTAACCACTCTCCGAAATTCTGTATTGCTCCCATACGCAATTCTTGTTGCCTGGTGATAAAAATGAAATAAAAAAAGTGGAAAGTCACGAGTTTCTTACCTGGTTTAGATCTGTAGCTACAACTGTGTTTCCAAGAGAGGCGTAGAACGCCAGCTTCAACCGGCCATCTCGAACGTTAACCAAATCAAATAATCTGGGAACCCCTTCAGGAGTTCGAACTTCTTGGTTCATCTTCGACCGAAGCCCTTCTTGTTTGTCCTGGAAATATTTAATTTTGTGAAAATGTAAATAACCCGAAAGGCAATTACCAGGATTAAGAACGTTGCTACACCCAGATTATTTTTACGCAATAGCTCAACACACGCTTGTGCATCCGAAGCAGTCTCAACAACTATGTAGTCCAACCCACCGCAAGCTGTTGATATCGCTACGTCGTACTTTGCTGCACGCAAGAAGTATGAGAAACATAAAAATGAGAAATTCGTTTTCAGAAGTTTCAGGAGAAAAGGAGGAGATAACGCACCATCAATCGCCCCAAGGTCTCCAAGTCGGCCATAAATGCCTTGAATTTGTCCAGACTCTTTTGCCTGAAGAACTGCACGAAGGACTGCACCTTGGCTCTTTTCTGACTCTAACGTAGCACGCATTTCATTCAGCCTCTTCTTAGCGGATTCCTCTTCGGCTGTCAAAACTTCCTCCTCTTTCAGCAGGGCCTACAGAGAAATATTAGCCAACGATCGTATTAGAACTCCCTCACCTTCTCGTCCGTCCGAGCACTCTCAGCAAGACGTTCCTGTTGTTTGAAAGCTTCAGTTTGCCTCGGTAGAGATTCCTCTTTGTTTTGCAAATTTTCATTGATTATTTGCAGCTGTTTCTTAGCAGCCTCATAAGCGTTGATGGCTCCCTCGTGCTGTAACAGTGAAATGAAGAGACTGCTGGTAAACAGATGCTTACAGACCTTGTCTTTCAGCAGCTTGCTCTCTGATCGTGCAACATCAATCTTCCCCTGGCAGTCAATAATTTGCTTATCCCATGGTTCTAACTCAGAACGTACGGATGACAAGCTTTCCCGATACCTCTCGATTTCATCTACGACAAAGGAAGCAAATAAACGTGTCAGAACAAAAAAAAATTTACCTTTAGAAAGATCCTTTAGATGCTCAAGTTTCTCTTCTTCTTGACCAAGCTGTTTAGTAAGTGCTAATATTTGTTCTTCCAACTGTGGAATGACAATTTTACTTTCTTCGATTTCTTTTTCGAGCTCCTGAATCCGAAGTTCATCCTGCAGGCCAATAACTGTAAGACCACGATATGAATGAACTGATGTTTACTTTAGCAGTTTTGTCCTCCAGCTTCTTTAGCTTTTGCTTCATATGCTTAAGGTCCTCTTGATACTTCAAGTCTTGGCGCTCGAACTCCTTGAATTCGTCGGCACAACCTTTCAAGTCCGCTTCAAGCTCCTACAAAGCAACTTAAGATTAAAAGGTTTTCGACATAACAGAATGCTGTCAAACCTCTCTACGCTTTGCATGCTTAGTGTAGTTCTTTTCAAGTTCTTTCAAGTCTTGAGAGTACTGAGCAACCTTCTCCCTGTAAAGGACTCAATAGCTGAAAGATAAAAAAGTTCCGGTAAAAATACCTCTCTTCCTTTAATTTAGCCTCGTGAGATTCAAGATCCTTCTGAGCTTTCGTTGCATGAGCGCTTGCATCTTTCAAAGCAAGCTCAGACGATTTTCCCTGCCACTTCAAAAGCTCGACTTGCTTCAACATATACGTAACAGCCTCATTTTTTGCATCCTGCATTTTGCACTTGGTAAAAGCGAACGATTGCGATCTTTCTTACTTCTAAACCGTCCTTTTCTTTCTCTGCGTTCTTCACACGTTGCACAACGCTAGTTCTCTTCTCGTTCAGAACTTCAAGCCTGCATCATACAAGTAAATGCTCTAGCTTCCAGAAAAGTATGGCAACTTACTGATTGCTAGCCTGTTCAATCTTTTCCACGTATTGATTGGAACCAATTATGTCTTCCAAGTACTCTAGAAATCCTTCATCATGTTGCCCTTGTGATTTTGGCTTCATCAATGAGATTTGTTCAACCTCACCCTGACCAAAACACAAAGAAGAAAAGTAAACAATTTGCCAAGAAAAAGAAAACTGTGAAAGCTACCTGGAGAATGAGAAACCGATTATTATCTAGATCAATCCCTTTCCCCCTGAGTTTTTTGGTTACTTCCGTGAAGCTGCTCAAACTGTCGTTGATGTAGTATTTCGAGCTGTTGTCCCGAAACGCTGCTCTTGTGATGACAAAGTCGGACCCAGGAACAGGCTCATACGTTTCATCGTCCTACATAAACGCCAAAAAAGATGGATAGATATAACTACGCGAGAAAACAAATTCATACCAAGTCTACAATCTCCTGGAAGTGGACTGAGACCTGTGCTTTATCCAGGTTGAGATGGTACGTGGAGTTGTGGATCAACTCCGAGACCTTGTTTAATCGCATCTAGAGAAGAAGAGAGAAACACACAATTAATTCTTAAGTAGACAGCAAACAAGTTAGAAAAGAAAAGAAAGCTACCTGCTTGGCTCGCCTCCCAAACACGAATAACAGGGCATCTATCACATTGCTCTTACCACTGCCATTGGGTCCGACAACAGCGGAGAAACACTGGAAAGGCAAACCAAAGCACTCCAATCCTCATGGAAATCGAGAAATGGACGAAAAATACCTTGTGGAATGGGCCAACACGCTGCTTCCCAGCGTAAGACTTGAAATTATCCATCTCCATTTCCTTGATGAAGAGCCTGGGGCCCTTTGGCGCGCCGCCAGCGCCATGCTTCGGCTCCACTCCATCCATACCTTCTCGGGATCAAATCAACGCGGCCGCTGCGGCATGAGAGAACGATCCAGCGCGCCACGCCCGGAGCTTCCAAAAACCCTAGAGCCCCAACATCTCAAAAAACTTGGCGGGAAAATTCGGTCCCGGGTTCGAATATCACCACCAATCATGCTTTACACCAGTCGTTAAAAGCAGCATAACTTTACACTTTGGTATATAAGAATGTGCCTTGAGACAAATAAGCTACGTTTCTTTTTTCTAGTGCCAGAAGAAAGGATGAGATAGAGCTTGCTTCGCGGATAGTCTCTCCGTTGGCTCGTATCTCAGCAATCCTTGGAGGAGATCCAGCAACACATTTGGGTACTGATCGACGTGTTGGAGGATCATATTCTGGAGCCATGGCTTTCCGTAAGAACATACGCACAAATCTAGAACCAGAATGGAGCTTACCCGTAGCCTTGGAAGTTTTCTCACAGCACGAACGCTCTCTCGAGAGACAGCACCCTCTGGCCAGTTGAGTTCCACTTTGTTCTTGAAATACTTCTCGGCTCGTCGACTGGAAGAAAGCAAAAGTTAGTCACTGCTTTGCTTTCGAATTTTCTTACTCTGCTTTCTCGATCATGTGAGCAGGGAGTGGACCAATTATACGTTCCATCATAGCCAGATGTTCCAGATTCTCATGCGTTTGGAAGAGCGTACTACCCTGAAATTACAGCAGGAGAATGATTGTGTTGTTTGAATCCCAAGGTAACTGCATATACCGAGCACAGCTCAACAAGTATACAGCCTATGCTCCATATATCACAGGAGTAAGACCAGCCGAGGCCTGAACGAAAATGCAAATCTTAGTATGCTCGAAATCACACATTTAATTTCAAATCGCATACCAAGTATCACTTCTGGTGCTCTGTAGTGCCTCGTCGATATTACCGAGCAGTGGTAATGACTGTTAAATGTTGCGCTTCCGAAGTCGATGAGCTTGATCTCGCTCGTCCTTGGAACTCTCACGTAGCACCGTCCTGGTCCTGATCGTTGGTACAGGCCCTGAATGGTTCTCGGTTACAAGAGCGACAAACAAAGAAGTGAAAACCTCACCTTGAAGTCGGGGACTTTGACATGATCTGGAGACACGAGCAGAATGTTTTCCGGCTTCAAATCCGTGTGGATAAGAGTAAGATCGTGCATGTCTGCAAGAAAACAACACACATCAGATTCACACAAAATATTTCACTATGTGCATCCCATGCCATGCAAATAAAGAGGAATTCTTCGTCTAGTACCAGCTTTAAAACTAAAAGATTTAAGCCTTCGAGGTTGCTTTGACAACACCAGACCTGTGAAATTTATACAAGAACAAGAAGCAAAGTAATGTCCATACCATGACATATTCTCGTGGCGGTACCTCTCATTCTTCAATCCTGTAAACTTCACGCTCCTGAATCACGACTAGGAACGTCTTTGAGTTAGTATGACCACCTCTCAAGCTGTACTCCCTAGTTTCTCAAGCCTTATGCAAGCATAGCATGGGTGAGATGAAATACGTACATGCTACGGACTCGAGCAGCTGCCGACCAAACTCCCGAACAAGATCGATTGCGTAAGGACGATACTCATTCTTCCTGAGAAAGTCATAAAGGCTTGGTCCCAACTTCTCGAAAACCTGCATCACACACCATCCAAAGTTGTCCTTCAGTATCGAGTGTCATCACGCCTTACCATGCAAATGTGGTTCCGGAAATCGAACCAGCGCTTTAACTGGACACAACGTCTGCAGAACTTCTCGAGTCACAGGAGGCGAAGGAGGAAGTGTGCCTGTCACGAACCTTGAACCATTCCGGTCATATCTCGCAAGCTCGTTGAGAACATCAATCTCAATCATGGCGGCGTCACGATACTTTTGCACATTTCTTATGAGCTTGATAGCCACATACTCCTGTGTGTCGCGATCCCAGCACTCCAAGACTCGCCCAAAGGTCCCTGCATAAAGAACGACGTCTAAAAATCCACGCAAGAGAAAACAAAGTATGGATCATACCTTCACCCATCTTTCCTATGATTTTGTCTGCAAAAAAAAGATCACCAACCATAAGAAAAACTCACATCGCTAAGCTTCGCGAACGAAACAGCTCGAAGAAATGGGGATATGGAGTTTTACAGCGAGGTGTGATGTTCTCCCCGAGCTCGAAAACGAAATGGCCATCTTTGTCATCTTCGTGGCAAGCTTGAGGAGGAACTACTACGTTGAGATGGCCGGTCACGGGGTTGGGTACCTGGAGAGCAGCCGCTGTGACCATACCAGCATGAATCCTCCGCGGAAAATCCTGGGGCTCCGTGTAAGTGCTCGCAATCGTCTGGAAGAACACATTCCCAATTCATTCCCAAATCCGAGAGAAGGGGGAAAAGGAAAATCTCTAGACTTGCCTGGTAGTAGTGAGGAGCGGCGTAAATCGCTGGCGCTGGAGCATAGATCGCTGGATGCTGCCGCCAGTACCTCGATGGATCGTAGAATCCCCCACATTCTACAGGGACATTCGTGGCGATGTGCTCCACGGCGGCGGCCGGCTCCGCCCATAATCTCACGCGCTTGCCGGGCCGGCGATCGACATCCACAGCGGCGGCGCGCCTCATTCGGATTGGATCGATCGATCACTCACCCTGCGCTCTCTTCCTCTCCTCTACATCCAAGAACCCTAGATCATACCAAGACGAGTGAGCTCCGTCCTACCTAACCCCGATGCAAAGGATCCAACCAAGCAACACGGAATTTTTTAGTCCGGGATTTAGCGCACTGTGAGAGAAGTGCCTTCATGGGAAAAATGTAGCCATAGCCATGGCGAATATGCCTGCGAGTACATTCTTATTCTTCTGCGCGACAAGAGATCTGGGCCTTTGGATCGGCTGCGTGATCGCAGCCGTGGGATTTTGGAAAACGATATGGACCGTCGATGCGTTGGCCCAAACACAACAACTTTTTTTTTTTGACGAGAGATTGTTATTGAGTAAAATGATCGCCCAAAAGCAAAATCTTTTTGGCGCACTTCAATGAATGAATCAGTGGTAAAATGGCTATGCGGAGCTTAACTCCACGACCAAAACGCCTGAATTTTCAGTGGCAGTCCTGGAAAAAAAAGAAGAAAAAAAAAAAACAGAGCCTTTTAGACTAAACAACATTGCCATTTTTTCTCTTTTTTTTTTCTGCTAGCGAAGCTCACCCTTCTTCCTGTTTGCATTGTGCGCTTGGAGGCAAAGGACGGGCCACTTTGCTCACGTCGACCAGGCCAAGGTTCTATAAAACCAGACGAAATCTTTGAGTATCACATAGAACTACGCAAGCATTGGAGCATACCTTTAAGATCTCAATTGCCGTCTTCTCGGAGTTTAGCGTGTAAAGATGCAATGCTTTGATTCCGTGAGCAAGGATCTTCTTGCACATCTCGGTTCCAAGGTGAATTCCATACTTTCGCACTGCTACCGGATCATCCTTGATGCTCTGCAAAGCATCTCTAACATCTGCAGGGACCTGACAAGAAAAAGCATTTAAGTTCTCTCGCAGAACAAGGAAAGATCAAACCTTCGTCCTGCAGAGTGTCGTCATTCGCAAGAACTTTCTATAATCGTTGATTGGCAGAATTCCAGGAACAATTGGGCAAGTTATGCCGATTTGTCGGCAATCGTTGACGAACTTCAGGAAGATATCCGTGTCATAAAAGAGCTGGCTGATGATCAAATCGGCTCCCGCGTCAACCTGGTACAAAATCCAAAGATCTCATGAACCTGGAGTCCGTGTTTTATAAAGCCGTGAAAAGATCTTACCTTCTTTTTGAGATACGCGAGATCTTTCTGGTAATCTTCTTCGGTGGCAGATCCGTCCGCTTGAATCACATCTGGATGAGCCTCTGGAAAGAAAAAGAAAATCACAAGTTTGCAGGAAATCCAGGACTTTGCAATACCAGGATAGCCAGCAACAACAATGCCGAAAGAAGATCCGTAAGTTTCCCGAATATGTGAAACCTGTTTCGTAGAGTCTGAGAAGCCTTCCAAAACTAAGAGCCAACGAAAGTAATCTCCTCACCAGATCAAGAGCGCAAGAGAGATCGTCGCTGCCAGCAACATCCAAGGCCTCCTCTCCCTCGGGAGGATCGCCGCGAAGAGCAAGGATGTTTTCCACTCCATGCGACCGAACAAAGTCCAGAGCACTGTCAATCCTCTCCGGTGTCGATCCCACGCATGTCAAGTGCATCATCGTCTCCAAACCAAACTGATCGAGAAGAAAAAAAAATATGAGAGAGGAAGAAATCGATGAGCTCATCCAAGCCCAAAAGCAAAAGGAGGAAAGGCAAAAGCTAAAGGAAGAAGCATCTCACCATGGTTTTCATCTTCCTGGCGATCTCGAGCGTCATCTCGGAGCTGCTGGCACGCCAAGTAATGTCACAAAAGCTGGGCTGGAACATGACAATGCGGTCGAGGCTGTCGAGGAGTAGCTTCATCCCCTTGGGAGTCCTGGGAGGCATAAATTCGAAGGAGTAGACGATCTTGTCCTCGCTCCATGCCTCCTTGACTCGATCGATGATCTTCATCCTGGCAGACAGCTCGTGAGAACCCGCATTTCAATCCCTAGCTCGCCAGGCATCAAAACCTAACCGGCGAGCGAGCGCTTACCTTGGCGAGAGATAGATCGATCAGTCGATCGCCCGCGGATGGAGATTCGATCGATCAGTCGATCGCGTGTCGATGGAGATTCGAACGATCGGTCTAGGGCCTTCCAAGGTCTTATTGTTTGCGCTACTTTATTTGACATCGTGGAAGGCGTGCGCGTTGAAAAGCGTACTACCGCAAAACCAACCAACCCTTCAAACCCAACCAAAGCCTCCTTGAATATTCTTTTCTGGTTGGGTTAAAGAATACTTTCTAAAAAATAGGTATATTTAAGCTATTAAAATAATAGTTAATGAAATCTGTTTATTTATATATAAATAAAAAAAACGAAAAATAGAAGAAGTTTTTTATACTAAATAATCTCTTATGATTTTAAGAAATACATGCTTAAAATTTTAAATTTAAATTTAGCAAATATTTTCAGTTAAAACTCATTTAAACTATTATATATTTTTCCAAATAATAAGTAAATAAACATGTATTTTAGAAATTAAAAAATATTGTGAAACACTTACATTACCACAATATAATATGAACTCCAATTCAATGTAAATAACAAAGATGAAATTACTGTGTTTATAAAGTTTTAAATTATTTTGTCACTATTATCTAATTATAATAATTGTTTTCAAACTTTTATATGAGTTTGAATAGTTGTGTTTTCTTAATGTTTCTCTTTGTGAAAAGGTTGCATTTATAATTCATTACAAATCCATTATTCCACTAATTATTTTGTCAATATCATTTGATCATTAAATACACTTTAAATACACTAATTTATATATATAAACCTAGAATGCCATAGAACCTGCCAAAAAATTACCACGTAATTTTCCATTTATCACATGGACATGGTTTGGGGCAGAGGTGGCCGGAATTAAGGACCCGAGTGAGAATTAGTGGCCCCTTACCCTAAGGCAAGAAGTAAAAAATCTAGAAATTTTAATTCCCACCACCGGATTTGAACCCTGTTCATATTGACACTTGTCACTTGTACATATCCATGCAATAGTGATGAAAAAGATCAATGTTTTTGGTTAAGGATGAAGATACCGGGTCAAAGACAATTAGATGATATATGACTATTGCAAGGACTTCAAGATGTTTTTGAGGCTACCACCAGAATGTTGACAAACAGCTACTTTAGCAATTATTCTTTCCATGTTTTCTGACAAATTAAAATAACTACTAGCTGTTTATCTTCATACATTGACCTCATAGTCCATATAATCAATATGCTATAAAAAACAAAAATGGACATCATAAAAACTCATCTAATTAAATCTAGATGTGTGTATGTTTCAAAAATGTTAAAATTCATAGCATTTCTATTACTTCATTACATGCTGCTACATGCAAGGCATAGCAAATTATTTGTGTCTAACCTCATTTTTTTTTTATGAAGTAGCCTTAATTAAATATAAAAAATAAACTTATTTCTCTATTTGTGAAATTCAAAAAACTGAGTTGTCCTATGCTTGAGTAGTATAATACAATAAACTTATTGGCTTAACTCATTAGAAAAGTTAATTTAAAAAATATTTTGTTGTGAGTGCATGGAATATGGAAAGGGAATACAGAAATGTGCATATCAATTAGCCCAAAAATTCTAGCTTATATACAAGAGCGAGTGGTCCGGATTGAAACCAATCCGACGGCTACCAAAATCCCACTATGCTAATATTAGTATACGGCATCGTAGCCGTACACTTGGCCCTCACATCATCCCCTCCTCTCGGAATAATGGAAGGCCGTCAGGGTTCTCTTGTAGATGGGCCGGGATCTGGAGGAACGTCAGGAGGAGGCATCGGCGGGTCTGTAGACGGTATTAACTGCTCCTGATCCCTTTGTATGAAGCGTTTCAACTGCTACACATACACAATCTCCGGAGGATCGGCCTGCTGAACGTCATGCCGAACCTCATAAACTTGCGGTCCAACTTGCCGCAACACCCGATACGGTCCCTTCCATTGCGCAAGGAGCCCCTTAGATAAACCACGTATCGTAAGATGGGGAAAACGGACTAACACCAAATCATCCATTTTGTACTTTGCAGGTGGACGATGATGGGAGTTGTAACGCCGTTGTTGTCCCACTTGTATGCGGCCTAAGTGTTCGGCAGACTCTGCTCGGACAAGTGGAAGAATGCTCGTCAAATATTGATCCCACGACCTAGCATCAGGAGTTCGTGGTAATCGCGAAGGTAAACCTAGCTCCGTTGGTAATATTGGATCATGACCATATAGAAGTTTATATGGTGAAGCACCAACAGAACTTTGCACCCCTGTGACATAGGCATACCGAAGAGACGGCAAATAACCATCTCAATCCAAATGCTAAAAGTTCACATACTTCGCAATCATCCCTTTGAATGTCCGAACAAGCCGTTCCTGGGTGATGAATAACATCAAAACTATTTATCTGAAGCTTCAAAGCCCACTGAGCAATACGACCAACCAGGTTTTTCCGCTTCAATAATGAAGTAACGGCAGCATGGTCACCTTCAAGTAACGTCCGAGAACTATGTAGATATGCATAAAGTTTCTCGAAACCCCAAACTGCCGCTAAACACTCCTTATCTGTCATGGAGTAGTTCACTTCTGCTGGTTGTAATGTACGGCTTATATATGCAATGGGATGACGCTGACCAGGCACACTCGGGCTTTCTTGCATCAACACACCTCCAAGACCAATATCAAAAGCATCTACGTGCAAAATAAAAGGTCGAGTGTAGTCAGGATATGCCAAAACCGGAGGAGTCGTTAACAGCTCTTTGAGATTCACAAACGTCTGCTCACAATCTGAAGACCAGATGAAAGATAACGTTGATGACTTTAGCAACGCTCGCAACGGTGCAGTGCGATCAGAAAGATGATCCACAAAACGACCAAGATACTGCACCTTGCCCAGGAAGCGCTGCACATCATTCACACACTTCGGAGTCGGGAACTTTAGAACGGCTACAAGTTTGTCAGGATCAACTTGCAAACCTTCATGAGAAATACGGTACCCAATGATAAGTTGTGTCCTTGGACCCAAACACGCACTTCGACCGCTTCAGCTTTAAACCAACGTCCCGTAGCCGATCCAATACTTTACACACATCACGAATGTGCTCCTCCCACGTCCCCTCCGAGTGAATCAAGACATCATCAATAAAGTCAGCAGTCACCTCTGGCATATCACAAAGAACC